TGTTTTGCGGATTCGTTAAATAAACCTGCCACCACTTATGTATGGCCCATTCCCCCTTCCGTAGGATTTGACGTACACTGACATACGTATGCGGAAGTAAAATTGTAAACAAAAACGACAATCACTACATTTCTCCTCTGAGACAACTAGAACGCAACAAAGACATACCTCCTGGAGTAGATCTTGCTAAACGTAAGTGTTACTGTTCTGACTGCGTCTAACTCTTCACGTGCTCACTCTGTATTCAGTGGATCCGATGAATTACGTAATATTCAGACGTGAATGCTAGCTCGCTAGCAAACTAGCTGCTAGCTGATGAACTTCATGTTGGCAAACCTGATGCCGATAATATTCTGTTTGAATCAGCTAAAGTAACATTACCGAGTTCTAACTTCTACTGGTTACAAGACAGTGCAAACTAGTTGTAGTTAGCTGTAGTTAACGTCAGCACTGTTGACTAGCTATATAACGAAACTGGGCGAATTTATCCTCGGTGTTAATGTTGTTAAAGCTCCGGTCAAATCACATTTTATTTGAAAATGCTTAATACGTTATTTGTATATAGTTTGCTACAACCAGAGAACCAGAGAGATGTGATAAATCACGGTTTCTTCTATATTGTTCATATTTATAGTCTCAGAACCCCATGTTTAAAATGCCTGCCAAATGCCCTGCTATAATATATATGGTATAATGTCTTCTTGTGCAAAGTTACTGAATACCAGCTGGACACACACCCACACACACTCACCTCTGCTCCTGTGTATTGTTAATCAGGTTCCAGATGAGTGACAGTGCTTGATGCAAGAGCTGGCTCAGTACTGTAAGAAGACATACTTAGGTGTCGTAGGCCTGGAGACACGACTGCAGCCAGCATGTCAAGAAAACAGACATCAAAACCTGTGCGGAGCAATAAGAAGAGCGAACTGGAACGCAAGAGGGATGAGCGGGCAGCTCGCCGGGCCATCGTAAAAGACCGCAAGAACCGGCCTCAGGAGGGTGATGAAGGAGCAGAGTTTGCCAGTTTCTCCATTCAGCTCCAGTCACTGGGACTTAAGCTGAGAGAAGTCCCCGGGGATGGGTAAGAGCCAGAATGAGATTGTGGCGTCTAGTCCACACTTGTCCTTTAAACAACATTAATATAAAGAAATCTTACTAACTAGGAGCGACACTATGGCTCCAGCCTCTGTGTTCATTTCTCTCACAGTCAGTTACAATATATTTTCGTCTGAACTACAATGCTTTTATAGCTGCATGGCTGCGACGTAGTAAAAGCTAAATTTGTCACTCTTCATCAATCATGTTTACTACTTGGCTGGAGATCTAGGAACCTTGTGTCTTGCAGGACTTAAGTCATTGTTATTGTCCAAAACCCGGGACTTTGCCAGCTGAT